GCTAAAGGAGAACAGGAAGATGCAGTGTGAGTTGATATCAGTTTCTAACCTTTTGCGAATGGCTTTGAGAGATACTAAATCATTTTGAACGGACATTTGTTTATGTCATCGCTTTTTAAGTACCATTAAAATAGTCGTTGTAATCTTTAAAGCACAGTGAGTAGAGTAAGAGAAACATCAAAACACCTCAATTAGCTCGCGATCTCCTGTGGGAATGCTAGGAAAACAAACATGAAGACCTTCTCACTTGCAACACAAAGCAAAACAGTTAAGGAAAAAGCGCGATAATTCTTTTAAAGTGCAAATAATCCACATACTCCAAATTCACTTCATGGCTGTGCTTTCTTGCTATGAGTTCCTTCTGCACCTTATTCCTAATTTACTCTGCTGAAATTCATGATAGATATATCAACTAGAGTACATGGGAACTAACTGAACCTTTTTCGTTGCTTGTTGCCACTGAACGGTTCTGTAATAGCGTTGCTAGTGACCCGAGGATTGTTTGTCACTAGTGCCACCCGAACAAGGCCATCGTTGTCCTTTGCGCAATATCGGTCAACGCCACATAACAACGCCCCACCCGTTGGTGCTGACTGTCACAACAATCAACCGCCTCACCCCAAACACAAATTAGCATTGGTGGAGAAGTCGTGACGATATATCATATTTATCTTAGTATTTTCAGCTCCACAACCATAGCATCGGCACCGTTGACGCGGGAAGTCCTGCAAGCGCACACTAAACGATGGGAGGAGCAGTATCGGGACACCTGGCATCGACGTTTGAAACGAATGTCTGCAGAAGTATTGCCAGGGGCTCCCGTTCATAAACACCTGCGTCCAGCTTCCAGTTGTACCCCTCCTGCACACTGGCCGACTGCGAGACGGGAAGAGTTCTATCGTAGTTTTGCTCCAAACCCACCACCACCACCGGGGATGAATTTCCAGGTATGTAGAGCTAACAAGAGCCTTAGGAAGAATTAGTCATGAAGGAAGGGTAGAACACATAGTTCTGGCTCCTCCGTGTCAGCAGCATCTTTAAGGTGCTACAAAGTGCACTGCTTCACTTTATCGCTCGTATGAAATCTAAGCAAACTTTTCTAGAGAAAAGCCAGCATAGGCAAACTCAACAGAACTCAAGCCTTCTCCTTCCAAACACTGTCGCAGCAGCAGAATCTTGACTCCTAGAATAGCATAATTTTAGGAACTACCTTTCATGTAGCGATGTAGCGAAAGTAAATTGAATTTGAATATAGTGTGAAGTCTTGTAGATGCACACTCTTCTAAGCTTCACTTCAATAGGACACCTTGACTAATTGATGATCCTTCGCAAAAATATTTGGAAATTTATCTCCTCGAAGTAATAACTTCCAATTCCAGATCACGACAATCCCTCTGCCTCCTATCGAAGAGAAGAGCACTCCACCAACGTCAACGACAGACCGATCGAGTGCCTTCACTACGGTTCGGCCGAAAGCGATCCCCATGCGAGATCTACCGGCTCCGATCGCCCTGTCCATCCAAGACCATCCAAGCGTCATACACACCCCATCCGAGCCCCTGGTCGTCCCCCGCCTCCAGTGGGCTCACGGCGCCGAGCCACTGGCTCTGAAACACCGCTCCGAGGCACTTCGCTTGCTACCCGAAAGTGCATAGGTTTTTTCAATTATCTCTCCTCTCCCTTCTTCGTCTCTAGCGCATTTCCACTGGGGAAATGCGAGCTACCCGGCGTTCTTTCGCGGTACACCCACAATACATGCCCTTGGTGGTATTAGTCTCCCTGCTGCCCATTCACACACTGCCCTTAGTCTTATCCTCAGTTTTTCTCATCATATATTGTATGTAATGATTGATGTTTCGTGCTTTATTCGTTGCCTTCTACCCCGAGTTGTCCTCTACCACTGCCGAGTGCGTACGGCTGATGGTGCCATAGATCCACTGCGCTGCTACAGTACACTACCACTCCGTATACATCTAATCTCTCTGTTTCGTCTTTCACTGTTCGTCGTGTGCCGTAGCCGTAGGGACACGGTACTTACCGCCTGCGTCCCCATAAATGTGATTCAGCCTGTTTTTCATTCCTCATCATGCGTCTTTGTCTCCTCCCACTTTGTCTTTCATGCCCTACCACCCGCGGTAGGATCCGCGCTCAAACACGAAACACCTCTCTTACCGTAATAACTCTCTAAATGCATCTCTTTTGAGCCACTGGACCTGTTTTTAACTCCTAATTATTGAGTAAGTGAGGGCGGAGTAGTGCTTTTGAGCGCGTTATGTGCAATCCGATGATAGTCTATGTTTAATTTTTGCTTTGGAAAGTAAATTTGAGGCGCAATCTCTTCGCGAACTGTATGTTTACAAAAATTGGTTGATGGACATTATTGTTGACATAACCGATCTTATATGTATAATGCATAGGTGTTGATGAATTATTAAACCAATAAAAAATCTGAATTCACGCTTGTTGTGAACGTATAAAACAAACAGCTGATAAACAACAAATAAACACCTGCTACACAGAATTAGCAACAAAGGATGAAGGAGATGTTCAGCAGAAGTGAGTTCACTATCTGCTCTTTCCTCTGCTGAGTCCGCCTCTAGGAGCGCTCCGCCCTCGCCCACGTCCTCTACCTCGCCCACGACCTCTTTGGAATGACTGTTGTTGATGATCTTCCTCGCTTCGGAATGCATGGTGGAGGTTCACAAGGTCCTTGACAGTTGTGTCGCAAAACATACATCCTTTGAACGTAGCTTTCCCTTCAGGTAAAGGACTTTTGTCCTAAACAATGTAGTACTTAAGGGAGTTTTAGAGAGTCAATAGAAAGAAATTACAATCCTTGCAGATCCCCAATTTCACTGAAAGAAGAAAAAATGAAGGGAAATTATGTTTAAACAACATTGTGGATAATTCCAATACCATTTGCATCTTTCCCTCATTTATGCCAAGCAATTTTCGGAGTGAAATCTTATTGCAACTATATATCATTTTAGAACCCATTTTCCACCCTATCAGATGAATATGAAGGATAAGAGTTAAGGAACATATCTTATGAATGCCTCTACTCTAGTTCAGTAAAGGTTGTAAAATATCCAGCGTTACTTTACAAAAATTGGCACAAACTGAAACACTAAACAAAAGCCAATGTGCAGCAATTTAGAACCAGTACTATATGGCACTAAATGCTTCACAAATAGACACTAATACAAGAAGTTTTTTCTAACCTTGTACTCAACGGCCACAAATCTTGCATCACAGTCTTCACAGCTGGATTCCGTAACTTTGAACTTCAACGCTCCCTCAAACATGGCTACTACTGATGGACATTTGTTACAAGTGAGTCTCCACTTTGGATGAGACTGGGGATCCAACACCATCACTCCTAAAATAGAGCTGTAGATTTTGCAAAATTTGTAGATGTAATACATGACCATGCGCGACTCACCTCCGCATTCCCGCAAGCATCCGCAGACACCATTCGTCCTACAAATGATATTATTATTGGATAATCCACATTGCAATTCATCAAATTTCACTAGTATTCAGAAGCAAATAAAGACTGAGTTCAAACTAGCAAAATATTTTGAACGTTACATTAGTTCGAAGCTTTTTTTTTT